CAAGCCTCCAATTTCTCAGTGGGAAACGTGGATCAGAGCTTGTAATGGTTGGTACATTGTGCTAAGCTGAGAAGTTTGGAAGCATAACTAAGCCACTCATCATGTGGCCAGGGTCCTCACTTTATAAACATCCTCATCCTGTGGAAGAGGAGGGCAGGGAGATGGTGTGAGTGCTACACCCACCCCAGGGCAGGTAACCTGCTTACCATGTGAGGGAGGGAAAGAGGCTTGCTCCCCACTGTTCCCCTATTGCCCTGTTGCTTTGCCTAGAAGTATTGCCCTCTGCCGTGAGCCGCCCTGCCTTGGAGCCAGCAGATTACGGACTGAAACCTCCACAAACTGTGAGCTAAATAAACCTTTCCTTCCTTCATTTTGGGCATCAAGTATTTCATCCCAGCAATGAAAGAAAAGTAGCTAAGACAGAGCAGTTTTTACAGACACTGCTGCTGGGTTGCCATGGATACAAGCATTCCCCACCTCTGGGCCCTTTCTTTGCTGCTTCAACTGCTGGCTCGGCATGGTATCCAGATTGGAGGGGTTGGTGCTGGCTGCTCTGCCACTGGGAGGATCTGAGGCCAAGGGTCAGCAGCAGAGAGAAGGGGAGAAAGGGTCAGAGAGCACTTTCCAAAGAACGCTGGCCACATCACTTGGTCCCCCGGAAAAAGCATGCCCACCATATCCAGGGGCACGGACTTCGCTTGCTAGGGGTGTGTGTTTGAGATAGGCTTTCGCCATGTGGCACAAGCTGACCACAGGCTCACACTGATCTCCTGCGGGGATCGCAGGCATGTATAACCATGTCTGACTCCCCAGAGGGTCTGAGCTGCTTCTAGAACACAAGCACACAGAAGTCTGCTACTCAGCACGAAGGCCTTTCAGGGATGGGCCCATGATCACGGCATGAACCAGAGAGGGAGGAGATGGGCGGCAAGGACTCTCCCAGCCAGAAAGCGAGAGACTCTCCTCGTGGAGCTGGGAAGCAGCAAGGGCTCCCATGTCTGTTCTGTAAGGGCTCAGCCACTTGCCCAGAGCCTAATGTTGAAAGGACAGAAGTGCCTCTCACCACCTCCACTGGGTCTGTACCAGCCTGAGCAGAGACCAAGTCACCATGGCAGAGAGTGTACTGGACATACTTACTTGGTGCCCCCACAGAATGTACAGCCCTTGGAAGAAAAACATGGTTTATAGGCGAGTGATGTAATAAAAATTCAAAAAAAGTTGACCAATGGGACCATCATCCTTCTGAGGGGTCGGGACACCACACTGTCCCTCCACATGTGTGGGCAGTGCTTCCACCTGGTGTGGGCAGAGGACTCCAGCATCTCTCAGAACCCTGCCCTGGGTCCCTGGCAGAAAGGTGAGGATGAGGCCCCAGCAGGAGATATCTGCTGGGTGGGTATCTAGCCTCAACGGCAGGCCACCAGTGTTGATCTCTGTGCGTGGATCTCTGAAAAAACAAAGGCCAGATGGCCATGAGGAAGACCAGGAGAGCTGGGCCTGGGTCTTACATACAGTATGGCCTTGACAAAGTCTCAATCTCTCAGCCCTGTCCTCCCTCACAGGACAACAATAGCACGCTTTGAGGGATTTTATGAGGAAGGATAGAAAAACGAGGATGGAAGCAACATGTCCTTAACATGCATCACCACGTCTACATGACCACCCAAGGGGCAAGGATTTTTCATGGATTCCATTAGTGCTAGCAGATAGGATCTGGTCTAAGCTGGAGAACCCCAAGACCCTGTGTCCAGGAAGGATGGGGCTGCACCCCCTCAGGTGGGGTCTTTGGGGCTCAGGGACTAGAGCTCTCTGAGTAGAGTTGTTCATGGGTCCTTGTGGAGGTGACTTTTTCCTGCTCCTAGCCAGACTCCCAGGCTCAGGGACAACACACCCTTGGGAGGTCAGTATGGTCTGGGAACACCCTGTCCACAAGGGTGAGTGGTCAATGGATAGCAGTGGCATCAGAGAGCCTCCCAAGGCCCATCTGCAGCTCACAGAGGACACAGTTCATAGGCCCTGTGGACAGAGGACATCCTACACAGGCAGGAATAAAGGAGCGGGCTGAGAAGGATGACAAAAGCCCTGTGATGGTAATTCTAGATGGCCAACCTGCTTAGCCTAAGAAAAACCTAGGAGGTTGGTAAAGCACCCTTCTGGAAGTGTCTGTGAGGGCATTTCTAGGATAACCAGCATGTGGGACAGCAGTGAGTGGGGAGATCGACCCTGCCTGTGAGGGCACTGCCCAATAGGCTGGGACCCAGATGGAACCAAAGCTGAAAAGAGCTGGGTATGACAGTGCCTGTCCCCTTGCAATCCTGTTTGGGAGGCTGACACAAGAGGATCATGAGTTTGAGGACAACCTGGGAAATTTAGTTGAGATTAAACACAGACTCAATCCTTCATACTGTTTTTAAAAACTGAAGAGGAAACCCACAAACACAGGCCCTCTGGCCCCTTCCCAGTGCTTCCCAGATGCCAGACAGTGAGCAGCTTGTCCCTGACACACCCCTGCCGTGAAGCTGTGTCTTACCTGAGACCAAGCTGACCCCAGCCTGGACAGAACCAGCCTCAGCTCTCCCATCTGAAGGTGTGTTTACCAAATGGATTTAAAGAAAAGCATACGTTCCCCCCCCACACACCACCATATGGAGAAAAGTGACCTCAACTTCACTCAGGTAAAATCTGACAAAGGGTGGTGAACTGGGGCTCTGGTGCAGGGCCCCAGCTGCTGTGGGCACCCTGCTCTTCCAAGGACACTGAGGACAGCAGTGCCCATACATGGCAGAGGGCAACACAGGCAGGCCTCACAAAGACATGCCCTTCATCTCTGGAAAGCCTGCAGAGGGGCTGTCCCTAGAACTGGGCTCAGGCCCTCTCCAGCCCCCGGCACTGGGCCTTTCCCTAGTGCATGTCCTCGTATACCACAGGCACCTTGGCATTGTTGTCTGGTGGGCTTGGTTCTGAAGCATCTTCACCCCAGCGATTAGTTCTGCTCCTTTACACTAATTATGCTGCTCCAGTGGCTGCCTGCCCTGAGGCAAGTGATTCCAGGCGAGCAGAGAACAAACATGGCAGCTGTGGGGTTGTTTCCTTACTGGCTCTAAGACTCAGAGCAGCAACCCTCAGCATTAAAGAAGAGACTTCACAGGAGTCAGTCTCCAGGATTCAGACAGTTTTCTCGCTGTAGCTTTGTATGACCAGCCAGAGGAATCAGGTCAGCCCTACATTCACAGATTCATGGGGTGCAAGGGCACCCCAGAGTCAGGAGAAAAATGCAGCTGTGACAAGGAGGTCATGTCTCGAGTGAGGGTCCGGGCCAGGCCATCCCATGTCTGTCCTGCGTGGCTCCTGCTGTGTGTGTGGATGGAGGCTCCCTGTACCTCCAGCATACCCGGGAGTGCCCAGCATGGTGGAGAAGACTATCAGACCAGGTGCAGGTCCCTGCTGCATCCTCTGGAGAAGGCTGTTTAGTCCTCAGCAGGAAGATGGGGAAACCCAGACAGAGCTGAGGACGTCCAGTAGGACTGCTCTGCCATCCGTGGCACAGATCCCAAGGTAGAAACGAGCCGTGCTGTTTTTGCTTCCTGAGTCACCATCACCGCAGTTTTCACAGCAGCACTGGGTGGGTCTTACCCGTCACCGTGTAGGCGCGGGACACAACCACCTCACCCACCTTGGGGGCCAGGCAGGTGCCATCACCCTCACAGCTGGAGGAAGCACAGCCCTCAACCTGCAGGGTCCCCCTAAATGCAGACATGCAGTCAGCAGGGACAGAGTGGGGAAAGTGTGTCAGGGTGGGTGAAGGGCTGGCCCTGCTGCGGAAGGAAGAGAATGAAGTCCAACCAGGAGTCACAATCAGATGACTCACTCATCCCACATGTCACACGTTCTCCTGGCCCTCCCCAAGAGGACTCTTGGGCACGACACCAATCAGCAGCTGTTTCCTCTTCTCAGAGCAGCAGGATCTGGGGAGCAAACGGGAAGCAAGCAACCTGCAGCCTGCTTTGTTCCAGGGCCTTCAAGCAGGATGGCCAGAACTCCTCTGGACCTTGCATGTCATTTGGATTCCTTGCTGCAAGCCATATATTCCCATTCAGAACAACCTCTAGAGCAGTCCCCGAGCAAGAGACAAAGCTGTGCTGCAGGGAGTAGCAATGCTACTCAGAGCTCTTTGGCCAAGCTCAGGAGGACCCTTTCCTTCCTCAGCTGGACCAATGGGACACTGAGGAGGGGCTTTCTCCCCAAGCCAAGGTGAAGGAGCCTAGGGGAAACACTTCATCCCTAAGGGGGATGGACAGAGCCCAGAGGAGCCCTTTCTCCCTCAGCTCAGGCTACAGAGCCTAAAGAGGACCTTCCTCCTCAAGCTATGGTGAGAGCCCAGGGGGCCTCCCTCCCTGAGTGGAGGCAATGATGCTCAGAAGACCCTCCCTAAGCTGGAGTGGTGGAGCCCAAGCTTGTGAGCTCTGAGAGCCAGGAAGCCAGAAAGCTCAACAAAGCCCCAGCCATGGTGTTCTCCTTAAGGTGCCCTGAATAGTTCTAGTCATAAGAGACAGAAAGGCCTACCAGGAGAAACTCAGAGGTAGGACAAATGAGAAATGTGGGTGACTCATGTTCTCTTCAAGGGCATACGCCTCCAAACTTCTTGACAGTACAGCAAGAAACTTCTGGTTCGGGGTATATCTTTTCAGTTGCTCAAGGGAATGAAAGTCAGGGCTCTGGGTCTTGCCTGGGAGAGAAGCAGAGACTAGGAGTGTATGGAGCAGGTAGGGAGGGGGGCTTGGCCAGGAAGGTAGACACAGAAGATGCCAGAGCTGCCCACTCTGCCACTCAGGGCCATCCCGCCTTGGCCTTCACTTGCAGCTTTCACAGGTACACATGGGGGGGAGGCACCATGAAGCCCCTCTTGTCAGTGTGTGGGACCCCAGACTCTCGGTTCCTGAGGAGGGGCCCCACACCAGAGGATCTTGGGGTGGAAGCTGAAGGAGGCCACAATATCAGGCTCTAAGTAAACAGCATTTATTTCTCATGCATTCAACAAACATTCAGCCCATTGACACTGTGTCAAGCCCTGAGCAAGATCCCAGGGATGGAGCAGCAGTACCTTGGAGCTGGTCACAGGCAGGACCAGTGTTGTGCCCTAGCACAGGGGCTGGTGTTTGCTGAATACATGACAAGTCATTCGGGAAGCCCAGACACTCTGGGCAAGTAGGATAGGTACTGTGGTCAGGACAGTAAGGGCCTCTGGCCCACCAGGAAGCACCTTGGCTATCATATTCCCAGCACTTCTTGCTGACAGCAGCAGACCCAGAGACCAGGGTGCCCTGGCAGTTCAGGGACCTGAACAAGGTCCAGCAAGTAGACAGGGCCACTGTTTTCAACAACTCCCTGGCGTGAGCCTCAGGACCCCTGGCAGCTTGAGGCCACCACCTCAGGTCAGTGCAAACCTCCTGGGTGCATGTGTCTCTGTCCAGGGGTCCAGAGGCCCAGCCCTACCCAAGAGCAGGTTAAGGCCTGGCAGGGCTGGGGAAGGAGCATACAGCAGGAGGTGGTACTGGCCCACACATCCAGAGGGAGCCACAGGTCCGTCGGCCCTCAGCAGGAGCACTGGCATCAGTGGAGGGGGAGTCGCAAGGCAGCAGTCAGCGGGTCCGCTTGCTATCCAAAATGCCCTTCCAGTCATCCGCCCATGAGTGCAGCCGCTGGCGTGAGGGAGGCAGCCACACGTGCCGGTTGTGGCAGGATGTGAAGAGGACGTGCTCCCAGCTGGGGTGTGGCTCAGCCCCTGTAGCAGGAAAGCAGCATTTGAGTGCAGAGGCCCTGAGCCCTGGGCACAGGCCTCATGCATTTCCAGACTGTTTCCTTGTCGGGAAAGTGGTGCCCGTGAAAGCACCTTTCATGGGGGTGAGGAGAAAACGAGGCACTGCCCAGCCAGTACTGGGGGCAGTGCATAGTGCATGTGCTTAGTGGGGCCTTACCACTCCTATGGTAGGGAAGGTCTGAGGCAAACTGCATGCCTGGCTGCCCAGCATGGTTCCAGGCAGGAACACCAGATTGGAGCAGCCACGCATGCAGCTCACTGGTTTTGACCACAGGTTCCCTGGGCCCAAGCTTCAACTCCTCCTGTCTCCACTGGCACAAGTAGGGGATGCCCTCCCTGCTTCCTGTGGTTGGAAACAGGAGCCCGCCAGGCCTGATGGGCAATGACGGCCCTGAGTTCCTAGGGGAGATCATGGGGTTGGGAGGCACTGGCCCTGTCCCTAAGCACATTTGAGGGCCCTCTGTGAACTCCATGTCTGGACACAGGAGAAGGTAGAGACATACTCTGTATTCTCCCCAGGAGATCCAAAACAACAGACTGACTTGCAGCCACCAAAGACTCCAGGAGCTGCTGCACATGCTATAAAACAATGCTCAAATCACCTTGAAACAGCAACAACAAAAAACTATGCTCTGCCTTCCTGTTGTATGCTAGGCACAGTCCAAACTTTTTGAGCAGAAAAAAAAAAAAAAAAGGGGAGAAGGGTTTGTTGCTAAAAGCAAAGATCTGAAGTTCAGAGTCAAGTCCTCCGTTTACATGAAAAAGACAAGAAAGACAAGGGAAGCATGACGTGACTCACTGGAAGCCACCCAGCCAGTGAGGTGAAAGCTAGACCCTGAACATCCTGACTCCCAGGAGTTTCCACGTGCTTAGGCCACATGCTGAAAGGACCTTGTCTCCCTTGCAGGAGACTCAATGCCAGCTCCAGCCTGGACACCTGACAAGACCTGATGACAGAGTGCACTGCCAGGAACAAGGAAGCTTCAGAAAAGTAGGCACTGAGGGGAAAGGGCACATGGGGGCATGGAGCCCCAGGCCTGCTTCACCCACACCTCCCCTGTTGCAAGCCACTTGCCTATAATGTCCAGCCGGTCATCTATGAGGAGGTCAGCAGAGATCACGGTCTTGTCTCTGGTCAGCACAGTCTGCTCCAGAAAGTCAGGGCCAAAGTGCTTCTCCACCCAGGCATACTAAAGCGAATGGGAAGATGAACAGAGTGATGTCAGACAGGGCTGGGAACACCTAGGCACTCCCAGTACCAGCGCCTGATGATGGAAAGGGATCACCTGTAAAGCCAATGCCCAGGGAGAGAGAACGCATCCGATGTAATGTCCCATGTCCATTTCCTGCAGCTAGAAGACTACAGGGTCATGACTTAGACCCGTGCCTGGTGTCTCCAGGGCGACATGGCAAGCCCTCAGCGTCCAGCCTCAGAGGCCACTGCATCACCAGCACTATGCCCACAGGCTCCTTTCTCATTGATGTGCAAGCAGCACAGAAAGAGCTCTGCCCTCAGAGCTTATCTCTGGAAGGGTCAGCTGTCACAGGCACGTCTGTACTATTCATGGCAGAACCCTGGGACAGGCCACAGAGGAGCTGTTCAAGGAGCAGCCACCAGACTCCAAACTCCTCACCGTGCAAGGGACAAACACTTTTTGCAGCCAGTATTACAATGGTGAATGAGATAGACAGGCAACCAGCAGGGTGACAGACACATGGAAAGCAGAGGTGCTGGCGCATGATGCTGCCACCACAGACCTGGCAAACCACCTGCGCCTCACAGCTACTCTGCACTGGGAATCCCTTCCCCTCCCCTCATACAACTCAACTAACTGCCAGGTGGCCTTTCCCTTGAGATGGCAATTTTCCTAAAGCAGCAGCCCTGCGGTGACCTACTGGTCCTCTATTCTGAAAGCTCTTCCATTACAAAGCTGCAGGATCCCACCTACTTCACAAGACCACTCAGTGAGGGTGGAATTATCACACCACAGGCAGAGAGACTACAGACAGGTTACCCCTGCACTGCCTTCTGGCAGCGATGGCACTCTCCCTGCCATGCTCTCCTGCAGCCAAGGCCACCCCGCAGTGGGCCTGTGCTCGGCAGTTGTCTAGTCCATGCTGGTTACGGAAAGTAACAGCACTGCCTTACCACCACTGCTGGGGAAGAACTGCGGAAATGTGCACAGAGGTCTCAGCCCTGGGCCAGGCAGAGAACAAGTGCTCAGGAAAGGATTGTGGCTCTGGGTCTCACCCCACAGCTGAGGCCTAACCCATCCAGCCCCACAGTCAGAATGGAGGAGTTAGGCTGTGGGAAAGCTGATGGGCCTCACCAAGATATAGCTTCCTCAGAGTGTTGCTGGTGTGGTCAAATAAAGTAAGTTCCATATAGGTCATGGCTGCATTCTGGGTCCTGCATGTCTCTCAGAGAATTATGTGTTAAGGAGTCTCAGTCCCTGAAGTGGTGCTAGGGAGGTGGTAGAACCTTTAAGAGATGGGCCTAATGAGAGGTCCTTGGGTCACTGAGGGTGTGGCCTTGAAGGAAACACTGGAAAGCTGGCCCCCTTCCCCTCCTCTTTTGCTCCCTAGTCACCAGGTGATTTTGTTCCACCGAATCAACAGAAACCTCCAAAAGTATGAGCCAAAATAGACCTTTTTTTCTTTATAAGTTGATTCATCTCTGGTATGTGTTACAGCAATGGACAGAGGACTAACACGCACATGTAGAGTAATGCCTAGTACATAGGAAGAACTGTTATTATAACTAAACTTTAGTAGCTCCAAATACTCTACGGAAAATCAACTAAAATTATGAATACAAATCAGGATACAAAGTCAGCATACAAAAGTCATTTATGTTTTTATTCATTTGGAGATTATAAGTAAACAAAAATGCCATTTACAATAGCATAAAAAATTAAATAGACTGAACTGCATACTTAAAACAGCTAAAGTGATAGTTTTGTATTGTGTGTATTTATTACAATGAAAATTTTAATTAAAAGCTAAAGATAGTCTTTATGTCAAAACAAGACCCAATATGAAGTAGAGACAATATTAACAAAACATGTGCAAGACTTGGCCACTGAGAGTTATAAAACACTATTGAGAAAAATTAAACAAAATTTAAATAAATAGAGGCACTTTTGTGTTCATCTGTAGATCAGGAGACTCAATATTATAAAGTTCAAAAGCTATGATGCACTACAATCAAATTCCCACCAGGCTCACTACATTTTGATCAAAGGATCTATTCAGATATTTCAGAAATGAACCCAAAGATATCAAGACATTTCAAGATGGCCTTTCAGTCAAAGAAATAAGTGAATTTATGTGACTAAACCAGAAAGAAAGCTTGTTTGGGGCCCTTTGTCAAAAAAAAAAAAAAAAAAAAGCACAAGGACCCACATTTGATCCCTGGTATTGAATGCTGTGCTGGCCCTGGAAGCTGGGGTGAATCAAGTCGGCCACCAAAACTAGGCATGGTAATGCATGCCTGTAATCCCTGTGCTAGGAAGGCTAAGACAGGAAGATCACTATGAGTCTTAGCTGCATAGTGAGACCTTATACCAAATAAATAAAAATGGGTCATAACCTAATATAAAAGCTAAAGCTATAAACTTCTTGCTCTTCAAAGATATTGTTAAGGGCCGGCCAGATAGCTCAGTGGAGTAAAAGCACCTGCTTAGGCAGAGCACAGTGGCTGGGATTCAATCCCCAGTGTGGCTTGCAGTGCTGGCCCCACCCCCAGAGCACGCTGAGACAGCAACTGAGACTGGGCGTGGTTGTGCGAATCTGTAATTCCAGCACTTGGGAGGCTGAAAACAGGAGAATCACTATAAGTCCAATCTACGTTGTGAGACCCTGTACTAAATACACAAAAACAAAAGATATTGTTGTTATTATTATTATTATTATTATTATTATTATTTTATTTATTTATTTTTTGCGGAACCGGGGATTGAACTCAGGCCCTTGCGCTTGCCAGGGAAGCGCTTATCCCACTGAGCCATCTCCCCGGCCCCAACAAAAGATATTGTTAAGAAAATGAAATGACAAGTCACAAACTAGGAAAACACATTTGTAAAGTATATTACTAGATAAGACTTGTTTCTTGAATACATAAAATAACTCTCACAACTATGTGTAACAACCCCATGAAAACAAGGCACAAGATCTGAATGGACTATCTGCTTTAAAAATGGTTCAACGGGCTGGTGAGATAGCTCAGTGGTCCAAAGTACCTGCTTAGGCAAGCAAGCAGGCACTGTGGTTCGATCACCAATCACCAACGCCACATGCTTCACCAGCCCTGCCCCCAGGGTGGGCTAAACTGGCCACAAAAAAAAAGGTTCAACACCATCAGTGAAATGCGAATGCCAGCCCCACCCCTGGGGCACAGCAATTGAGACTGGGCAATTGAGACTGGGCATGGTGGCGTGCGCCTGTAAACCCAGCTCTTGGGAGGCTGTAAATAGGCAGATCGCTATGAGTCCAATCTAGTAGTGAGACCCTGAACACCCTGTAGACCTTTCCCTAAAATACAAAAAAATAAATAAAATAATAAAACCAGGAGACACTGCCACACACCTGGCACAACGGCCAGCATCCAGGCCCTCGTAACATTCAATGCTGATGAGGATGTGGAGCCAAAGGGACTTGTATCCATTGTGTGTACATATTTTTGCTTTGTTTCATGGTACTGAGACTAGAAGCCCCATGCCTTGCACCTGCAAGGCGAACAGTTCATCACTATGCCACCAGCCCTTTCCATTTTATTTTGAGCAAGGCTACATAATCCAATCTGCCCTCAAATTTTCAGTCCTCCTGCATCCACTCCCAAGAGGCTGGAATTATAAGCATTTGCCAACATGCCCAGGATGTACAGATGTTTCTAACTGATTTTTTTTTTTTTTTAATTTTGGTGCTAAGGATCCAACCCAGGTCCTTGTCCATGCTAAGCTCAT